ATTCCCATTTGAAAACAACATGCGACATGTGAAGAAAGAGCTCCGAAAGCATGAGAGGCCACTCCAACAACTTCGAAACCGAATACTGGAACGACAGCAGCTGCCATCTGTCATTAAGGAAAAGTCGCCAACTATTGTGCTGAGTAACCCCCAGAACTTCTGGCCCTTGCCGTCTCTTTGCACAGGACCTGAATTCAGTGTGGCCAAATGCAAAGACTTCATTGTTAGTGCAAAAACTGGTGATAACTGCATTATGGTTGATGGACACATCATTGTTGTTCAGGCCTTTGCCTATATGAAAGACTCAAATGAAGCATGTGTTGTTGGACAGGAATTTCTTTGCAAAGAAGACTTCTATGTTATTCCATTTGAATCCTCACGCATTGGAATATTTGTTGTCTCCGGGCTGTCTCGAACAAAAGCATGGCCTTTGAAGAGCCCCAAGAAGATGCTCATGCTGCCCTATTCCAGCAAGTTTGTGGTAATTCCAGAAATTCATACTAACTGAATTCTTGGTGCTTTCAATTTTCATCGTACTACTGAAGTGCCAGTGAAATAAATTACTTCCTGTGGTTGATAACTCAAGGTTGTTTTTTTCTGTTATTTACACATAATTTAATCTGTTTTTTGTGAAAAGACTGATAAAGAGCTTTCACATATATTTTTTTTTTCAGATGGCATATGCTATTGTAGATTTTGTTGGTCGGAAAGAAATAGTAGTTGTGCCATGCTCTTGGATTAGTGGAAGCACTTGCATGTGGCCAAAAGTTCCGCTTGATAAACTAAAGACAATGGTGAAGAAAAACAGCCCCTGTTCATCCTCATTGCCCTGGCAGAGGTATGAGGTTCAGGTCAAAGGACTTTTTAGTAAGTGGATTCATGCTTTAGCAGTAAAGACATAACTTTTTTAGACGAGCGCGCTGCTTACGAATGCTGGGTGTGGGCACGCACATATGCAGTAGCTTTTTGGGAGTTAAGAAGTGTGTGCACAGTACCTGGGGAAGCACCACTTCAGAGGAGTGACGTTGGAGGCAGGTATTGGTGTGTAAGGGGGCAACTCTATGATATATATATATATATCTGATAATACTACACTAGAAAACGTTTTAATCACTCCCCAAGGCGAGCACATAAAAGTTGGAATTGATAACCCTCTTTCTCAGAATCATTGGTGGTCAACCATGAAGAAGACATGTCACTGTATTGACACACAGCAGTCCATAAATGTATTATGACATCTATAATTTGTTTAACACTGCTGAAACTATTTTGTATGGTGGTAAAGTGAGAAATGCTCATCGTTGTGTTGCTGCAACTTCATTCTACATTTGATGAGTCACTTTAGGCATGGAATAGCATGTTTTGCCAATGTTTCTAGCAGTCGTTTGAAGTACAGACACTGTTTGATTTCTTTTTTTGCGTGTGCAGCTTTGTACGATGAAGCTAGAAGGAAGCTGGACAAGAGTCAATACACGTCCGACTTGGCAAGCGAAGATGAGCCACCTCAGAAACGGAGGAGGACACCAGCTACAAGGTGTGACCCTACTGATGATACATGCAGCAGCTTGTGGTCAGAAGACAGTGCGGGCACTTTGCCTCCTGAAGTTCCAACGGACCTTCCTCAGGGTAAGACTGCATAATAACAGTGTCGATTTTTCCAATTTGAAGCCATGCTGTCTAGAAAACGGTAGTTATATCTATGCTGTTGTAGTGCTATAGACCTTAGAACTTCACTTCAGGAGACACTTGATGGAAACAACCTCACTTCAGGAGACAAGTGAGAGTAACAACATTCTTTTGTGCTACGTATCTTCAGGTTTCATGGTGTTTTGTTGGTATGTACAGTGTTTTCAATGTGGCTCAACAGGAAAAGGATAAACGATTGTGTATTTCCAGTAGTGCAAGCGCATCAACATGCGCTCACTTCCAAGTTTGTTCTTAATACCCCTTGTCCAGTGAAAAACCTTGACAGCCTGGGGTGTATTGCCACAGCTCTATCACAGTTCAATTCTAATTCCAGGGCACCTGCCTGAAGCTATGTCATGGCACTCAAAGCTTCCCACATTGGTTTTGATTATGTAATGTATCAGAGTGTCTAGCACCCGGAATTCCCAGGGAAATTTTAATTATCAACATACCTAAGAATGAAAATCAGGGAATAGTCAGGAATATTATCAAAAAGCAAGCCCAGTCAAGGAAAATGAGCCGCAAACGCCATCAAGTGCCCTGAGCAAAGACTTAAACTCGGGGGCAGAAAAATAGGCAATAAATTCTTAGAGCGGAGCGCTGGCTCTGCTAACTCGATGTAGGGTGTGCTACCCGATCCAAAGGAAAAAGTCGACAAATCTAGTCCAGGCCTTGAATTGGATTGGATTTAGGGCGCGAAAGTAGGCTAGATCCAGTTAGAACTACTAGATATAGTAACGAATGGAAAAGCCGCAGAGCCTAATCCAAGCATTAAGCCGAAAGTGTACACCTAGCGGCCAAGCTGACATTTGGTTATTGACGTGTGATTGAGCGCACTGTTCCCGGTAGTGGCCTCTTCACTGACGATGTCGGCAGCAAGAAAGTGGTCGTTTATTCCGAACTGGACGAACCCGAATGTTTCGGAATATGCAAGTTGGATTAAGCCCGTGCAAAATGATACTCAATGCTGAGTGCTCCATGCCTTGTGCTTTAATGATATATATTTAAGTGCTTCTACAGTGGTCAGAGAATTTCACCTAGCATTGACAGGGAAAACCTGGAACAGTCAGAATTTCAAAATAAAAATTTGCTATACCTGTTTTCACCTCAACAACCACAGGAAAAAAAGTCAGGCTTCTTGCGGAGCATTACTGATTTCCCCCTTTATGTAGAGAATTAAGGGTAACTGCAAAGAAAAAAAAGTGTATTTTTAAACACCCTAAACAGGATAAACATGTCAGAACAAGTTTTCCGCCAAAAACAAAAACGTTTACAGCAATATTTATTGCGCCAGACTGATTCTAGTTTGCGGCTGTTTCGTCCGTTTTAAACTGCGTGCCACAAAGTTGGTATTCTACGTCACGGAGTGACGTATAGCAGCCACTCTGCGCGCGTCAAAAGAACGGGAGTTTCAAATGTGGAGAAATTGTGTTGACTAAATTACGTCCTGTGGCGTAAATATTGATACAAAAAAATAGTTTTTTCGTGTAAGATTTGTTTTGTGACATGTTTGTCCCAATTAGGCTGCTTATAAAAATCTTTTTTTTTTCTTTGTAGTTACCCTTTAAGATATGAGTAGGTGATTTGTAGATTAGTTTTATGCTATCTTATCAAGACATACACATTCCAAACGCCCAACGCATCGCATTTTCCTCCGACAACCAAATCTAGTAAGAACTACTTCGTGCTGCGTATGAACAATGCGCAAAACTTGTTTCTTTCTTGAGATGAAAATGGGTATAGACACCCGGTGTTTAATAGGCATGGAGCCTTTTCAACAACAGGGCTTTTTCCTGACGGCATGCAGCTCTTTTCGGGAAGGTAACCGATGAAGATAGATATTTATATTTGTAATTATAATTTTCTGATAATTTGTAGCCATTTAACGTGTCAGCCTTTCATGTGTTTATATCAAACGGTTTGAACAAAATACAGATCGTGCAACACCAAACTTTTTGGTTTTGATCACTGTTGTACTGATGTGCAGCCTGTGTTGCCTCTGATGGATGTCGTGTGGAGTCCCCAGTTTTGAGCCAGCATGGAAGAGGTGAGTAGAGAGTAGGTTATGCTATAAATTATTTATAGCATGTTATGCTATAAATTAAATAGCATACATTTTCTTGAGAATTTTTAAATGACAGTGCTTAATACAGTAGAACCTCGTTGATATGTTTCTGGTTTTTAAATCTTCCCTGCTGCCATGCTCACAAATGCCGGTCCCATTGAACTTTCATAGCGAGATGTTTATTAATTGCTTGTTTGAGTGTGAATAACTTGATATATAGATTAATAACGTCTAAAAAAACAAACAAAGAAATGAAATATTTTTTTTTTTTGCTGCGCAGCGTCATAAAGACTAAGTAAGTTGCTCACAAGGTTCGAAGATAACTGTCAGAGTCGCGAGTGAGGCAACGAAACTTTTTGATGCATGCAAACCCTAATAACACAGGACAAGCCTTGGCTAACCCGTCGCCACATGGAACACCTCAAGGCGGGGTGCAGGCATACTCTGGTAACACTGTTAGCCTTTTCTCGTCAGTCGGAATGCTTGCATATTTTAAGTGCTGTTTCTGATGTAAGCCGAAGCTTTGTCTTGATCACACCTGTTGTAATATTCCAGGACAGACTCCATGCCCTGGGCCCACTGCCTTGCCAGAGCGTGGTGAGTTATGATATTTCTTATTTTATCCAGCATTCTGTTTCCTGGCTCAAGTAGTAGGCTTGTCATGCTAAATGTGCAAGTTTGTCATGCTAAATATGCAAGTTTTTTTTTAATGTGTGCTGTCAACATGTCTTAACATCATGTTTAGAAATGAGGAAGTGGACCATAACATTTCTATGTGCTCTATATGTCCCCTTTGTTTGTCTAATGTACATGGAGGTATGAATGCTGTACATGCAGGCATTTTGAGTGTTTATAACCTCTTTCAATGAGGTTATTGATAGAGGCTATGGAGGACGCACGACATGTGCTATGGTGTGCACAGCTATATCGTCACTCTTTTTGCTCCGCCGGTAGTTTCAGGCAAAACCCACCTCAAACTCAAAGAGATTAGCCGGCATAGTATTTAAAAAAAAAAACAAAAAAAACATGGTTGGGTTGCTGAGAAAGGGGAAGAGCGCATGTGGATTCCGCCATTTTTACCAATAAACTTCTCCAACTTACTGTGACGTCCCCCAACATCCTCTATCGTCGCGGGAAGCAGCAGCCAAATGGGCGAATTAAGATCTTTTTTTTAATGAAGCTTGCGCGACCAGCATGACAGACCGCCCTCCTCATCCCATAACGCTTCATACAAGAACGCTTTACCCAGATGTTACACCAGCAACATTATGGTTGGCACTGTCCACTTTGCTTGGGGTAAAATGCTCATGTTGGGAAATGCCTGTGCCTGTCTTCGTATGACTCCTCCACACTGACCTCTCGTTTGCAGGTTGGAACACTTTCTAATTTTATTAGGAATTCCAGAAATGTACTTGCAAAAAAGTAGCATGCCATAGCTACAGGTTACTAGAAATTGTACCTATAATACAGTTAGTTACCAAGAAATAAAAGTGTCTACATTTGTACTTCAGATAAACAAATACTACCTACCGTAAAATACCAAGCATCCGCCTATTCTGCACCAAGCGGCCATTCCTAAATGTTCTGGCACCTGAAAAAATATGCGAAGTACAAATATAGATCAAATTTGTGATCTAACAAGTGCCCATCCCCCACTTTCTTGCAGTTATCTCAGAATTTTGAATGAGGGCCGCTTGATCGTTACTTAATGGCAGTTACCAATGCACAGCTACTTGTACCTAGGTACTTCACAACCTTGCTAATAAGTAATTTTGATTTATTCTTCAGAATTTCGGGGCCAAGTGTTAAGGCTACTCAATGTTATAGGACTGAGCTTTCAGCAAGTTGCCAGCACGCTTGACGCTCTCACCGCCTCCAGCGAGCCTACTGCTGCACCCAATCCGGTTGTACCGCAACCGTTCGACACAGCCGATGGTCTCTCCAACTTCGAGCCAGATCTCAGCGCATCTGACGAAGCTCTTCTGGTGCGTCCATGTTTACATAACATAGACTTGGGCTGATAGCTGTGGGACCTTAGGTGTTGTGCATGTCACCTGTGTGTGTAGAATACAAAACATAGCTAGCAGTTCTTCAGCATGTTCCTTCCCAAGTGTTGAGGTGCAACCAAATTATTTCAAGAAATATCAGTTTTGTGAAGACTCTGAGGTTTACTAAATTGGCAGGAACTAACAAAAATAAAGAGTGTCTTAAAGTTCGCACACCAGACTCCAAAGCTTCTGGTTGCAGCTTGCTATGTGAAAAGGTTGAGGAGAAGGAATGGTAGATGCAGCTTATTTCTGTCTTGTATTTTTAAAATAGACCCTTTAGAGAATCGCTCTCATAGGTTGTAAAGCAACTCACATAGGCTGTGCTCTGCTGAAATGCTACACCCAATTTGTGTGGCATCTTTGAAATGTTCAGGTCAAGGAACTAATTCAACTTGGTGGACGAAACCCCAACACCGCAACCAAGCGGATGCTCGCCTACCTGCTGACTGATAAACTAGCAGCCGAGTACTCTTGGGAGGGAAAGAAGGGAAAGAAGAAGTTCTGCAAGCTTCGTATTTGTCAACTCATGTGTGGTTAGTGTCACTTTTTTAATTCTTTGAAGTTCATTACTAAAATTTATGTCACAATTGTTTAAGGTTTCTGTTTGCAGGTGAAAAATTATCTTACTCTTACCCTGGGAGAGAGAAATATGATCAAAAGAAACATAATGAGTGCCAGAGTGGATAAGGTAACAATTTTGGGCAAACATTTTAATCCGCTAAATTTGAGAAAACAGACCTAAAAATACACCCCTGAAAGAGAAATGTACATTATGTTTACTTCTGAACATGTTCATTTCATTACTGTACTATTATTTCCCAGCTTAAAGGGATGTTGAAACGGAAATTGAAATATCACTATCAAGTTCAAAAGTAGGATAAATGTGATCATTACTACCCGGATGTGACAATCACACATTTTTATTTTTAGTGGATGGCAATATTTTTCATTCTCAACGGCCCTCTCTAGCAAGCGCATGAAGAGCAGCCACGGAGAGCGCAATGCGTCTTGGGGGTCTTCGACACACCCGTGACATCATCCCATACAGCATGAGCAAGGCTACAGAGGCTGGCGTAATTATCAGCTTTACCACTCGGTGGCGCCAGTGCATCACAACTAGTCCTTTTGAGACATCTGAGGGCGATACCAGCCGCATGCCACAGCACTGACTACAATGGTGGACTGCCCGCCCACACTGCCGCGGCTGCACAGTCGGACTGAAACACTTCATCGCCCTGGGGCTCTTTTCGTAATCCTCATCACGAAAGTGGTCAGAGCACAAACGATCATTTCTTGTCGGAATCCACATGAAAAACGACAGATGTGCCAGACACATCCGTTGCTCGGAAATTAATGCGTTTTCAGCTCGCGATGTAGCATGCAGTTATTATAGTCCTCTGCCACACAATCGCGCAGCATCTGGGCATTAAAACCCGCAGAAGTTCTTCACTTCTGAACCTTCCAACAAAGTAAATGCCACACCGAAGCGCACTACCGATAGGCCATTGGGTCAACCGGGGCGATCAACCAAACGGGGTCATCGTGGCCAGCTCTACATTGGCTTTCTCGACCAAAACTTCGCGTTCAGGCCTTGGCGACTTCCACGGGTATACCCATACCTCTACAGAGGGGCACTACCCATATGTCATAAGCAATGCCCTAATACAGTGTTCATAGTCATGACATACAACACTGTTTTTGAAACATCAACCATGTGCCCTTCGATAATCGTTTAGTTCATTTCATCATTTGTTTTCTTGTCCTTTTCAACAGAACATTTGTCTTTGCGAGCAGATGTCATTGCCTATACGACATTAAACAATAAAATAGGTGCAAAAATTTTGTTTCCATACACTTTTAAACACCAGATGAAGGAATATATTGTTCTCTTTCCTATCTCATACTGCCCTTGAAGGGTACAGTGGTTTCAGCGAGGCTGTACTTATATTTGCTTTTATACTGTTTTTCTTCCAGCTGCAGTAAACAAGAGGTTTACACAATCAACAAAGGATGATGTTGAAGTCACAACAAAGTCATGGCTCAGACATGCCCCAGAACGAGAATATGGAAAAGTCACCCAGCGTTGAACTTGTGCATTTTATAGGTATTGGTTCTACTTGTTTTAGCTAAGTCTTCTAGCTCTGCGAATGTTTATATTTATTTATCTTTTTATCTTTTATTTGTGCTGATGAAGGCCCATAGCAAAGACCAGGTACATTCATTGTGTATGCAATAAAAGTTCAAGAGAAATTCCACTTGTCTTAGCTTACTTGCAGACATACTGTCACAATTTAGCTTACTAAAGCAAATACTGAACCTACTTTTGGTCTAGTTTTCTGAGCCCATGCTTGGTGTAGTATTATTGTCAGGTTATCTGTCTGCACTATTTATGCAAAACTCACATAAACATGCTCTGATGATATCATGGACTAGTTTGTTTCCACATTACGTTCACTCCGGTGCTACGCTTCACGGATAGGTGTGCATGCAAACCCAGCTGAAGCGAAGCAGTGGTGTGAATTTAATGCAGAAATAAACTAGTGCATGATATGATCGAACCATGTTTATGTGAATTTCACATATATAGTACAGATAGATAACTCGACAATAGTACTACACCAAGCATGAGCGCAAAAAGAGCAAACAATAATTATATTAATATTTGACATATGGCATGTAATAATACTATTCTAAAGAAAATGCAATATTATTGCACAGGAGGGTCATTCGGTGGGTGTTCCGCCAAATGTCCGTACATCCGTCTTAGGAAGTCCCATGGATGAGCCGTGCCACGTTCAGAGTTCTTGCATCGGATGATCCGATGGACATCCGGTGAATGTCATCCGGAGGTAAATGGACATCCGGTGGACTTCTAAATGTCCGAAGTTGAACGAACGTGGGATGTCCTAGGGACACAAATTGCCTTCTGGGAAGTAATGAGCATTTCTGCTGTCTGCGTGCGAGGGGAGCACGTTTTTACATGCCACTTCGGTATAAATAGTCTCGCGAGCTAAACGAAAAGCGCCGAATAAACAGAGACAAGGAAGTAAAGAAGAGGAAGTGCACTTTCAAATGAAGGTTTATTGAAACAAATATACACTACTAGTACAATATTTATTTCCATTCGTGTAGAAAATAAAACTGTATATTTCCGATGCATTGACGGGGCACTAGCGAATTTGCTTTTGTCTTGCTTACTCATACAGAATGCATCGTAAAACTCTAAAGCGTTTTGAGCTGTGTATTTCCAGAGAATTGTTGTTTGTACTAACTTTGGGTCACATAGGCATCTATCCAAGTGAACTGTTAGATTGCCCGGTTAGGGCTGGTTTTCTGTAACAAAGTAATTTGATAGCCTAGTTGATTAAACACAGTAAACAAAATTAGCGCAATGGACGAACACAGGAAGAAGGAGTAGACAGGGCAGAGCGCTGTTTACAGGTGACGTTTTTTGAGACGACATAGGAGGGCAAAGATAAAGTCAAGACTAAAATCATGTAAAAGGAGCAGAAAGAGCACCTCAGTCGCAAGTAGCGTCTGTCCTGCCTACTCCTTCTTCCTGTGTTCGTCCATTGCACAAATTTTGTGTACTACTGTTTCCTTGACCATGCATGTTATCTTGTTATCAATGGCCGGTGAAATTTTTAGGCGGAATGCCGCATTGATATAGAGCGAGGTCGATGGCGCGAAACCGGGAAGTGAAGAGCTATCGCTGTAAAAAACACGCGACTACTCGCTCGAGAGCCTTGTATTGCAGTAATTTCAATCCTAGCTTGAAGAAAATATGCCTGCCGGCAAGCCAAGTCTGGTGAGCACTATAAAAAAAAGGCACTGTTAATGACTCCAGTTATGCGACAGCAAGTTGTTTCGCGAGCGCGGGCGATCTTATGATGCGAAGGGCAAAAAAAACTACAAAAAAGACAAACTTCATCGCGTGCTTCCTGCACTTGAAAGGACCAACCGGTGTTTGTTACCTTTTTGTGCCTGCTCTTCTGCCGGATCATCCTATCCAACGCAGGGAGCAGGCCATGACGTAGCGTTTTTTTTCTTTCGATTTTTCTTTGGCCTTTTGGCTCACAACATCGGGCACGCTCGGTCCTAAGTTGAAACAAAGTATAGCGTGAATCTATCAGCAGTGCCCTGTCAGCAGTGCAATGTCCACCATGCGGGCCCTGTTCGTTCAAATTGCGATTGAAGGCGGTGGAGTGCAAAGTCACGTGTTAGTTTTATAATTCGTGGGCTTCTTTCGAAGGGCGGAAAAACAAACCGTGTTAGAGGTGTCTTATTAAAAACTACTGAATTTAATGTTTATAAAGACTGAGCGTACCTTTATTATTGGAACTTTCGCTCTATATGGAGTATGCTTAAAAGTTCAGTAAATGACCCTAATTACTTACTTCATTGCGCAAAATACAAAAGAATGCCTGACTTGCCCCAAACAATCAACACAGTTATTCGTTCGGTTTCGTCTTCTTAAATTGCAACAAAATATGTTTAAGACTTGGATCCAACACACCATGATCTCGAGATACTCAGTGGTCGTTCTATATATTCCTGAACGGCATGAGCAAAGTTTCGGGCTCTTTCCGAGAAGCAGCGAATGGCACGATCATAACTTCCCGGAAAGAAGAAATCCCCCCTTATTTTTCCTGCCGCATACTCTTGTACAGGCATCCGCGACATAAACCGCCATTCCACGCCATATGCTCCTGGCGTGGAATCGGTTCCCCTAAAGAAATTGGGGCGTGTGGTCGCGGAAGCTGCGCACTATCACAACATCTAGGAATCTTGGCTGACTGCACTTAGCGCTTAGACGCTTATAGCGCAACAGCTGTAGCCACTAAGCCACCGGTAAAGTTCGTTTGCTAGATAACGCGGAGAGGCCTGCGCTCGAGCGTCCGCATTTTTATAGGTGGAGGAAGGAATCTTTCCAGGGTGGCAGCTTACGTGGTAAAAAAAGTTAATTGTGACTGGGGAGCCGTAGCCGCTTGCAAGCTTGGAACATACGTGGATGCCTTGAGGGTTTAGCAGCGGCGCTCCTGAATACTCGTTAGCTCGATGGGATCAGCGCAAAAGTAAGCAATGTAAGTGCTTCAAAACTATGTTAGGTATAGAAGGTGGTTGTTTCCGCATGCTGAATGCGTGGTAAGCTCTAGCTCTTGACGGGTGGTATAAAAGTTGTCGAGCATTAAATAATATGCTCTTGAATTTCTTGGAAAATTGTGGTTTGGTACACGTAGAAGAACACGTCGAAAACTACAGAATACAGAGAAAAAATAAAACACATGAAGGACGAACACAGACACACACAGTCTATGTGTCTGTGTTCGTCCTTTATGTGTTTTATTATTTCTGTGTGTCCTATTGTGGTTTGGCTTGTCTCGCTAAATTGAGGAAAGTTTTTTGGTTTTACTTTTTTATAAATTTGGATTCCTGACTGTTTTACGAAACAGTTTTTTTTTTAATAAATTTGTGCCACTCACGGAATATATGCGCATGTTATTTAAAACTGAAAAGGTTCATCGCAAAGCGGGACGGACAACGAAGACTTCCATCACGATTAACTTTTCGGCACTCACGATTAACGTTTTACCAGGTAAGATGCCACTGTGCAGCTTTATGCAAGTCCTTGTTGTCCGTTACCCTTTCTATGTATCTTCCTCATGTTTAATTACTGTTGCCAATACGCTCGTCTTGTACTTAAGCCTTCTTTATTCGCGTGTTTCAAAGATGATAAAAACAACGTAGCTGGTGGGTCACCTAACAATAAAAACGTTTATAACAACACTGAATGTCATTAAAAACAATTAAACCAACCAATGTAAAGCTCAACCATTGCCACACGATCGCATTATCAAACGGACTATTATTTAACGCATGGATCTAAACCTCTCTAAAAAAACGTGAGATAAATTTTAAAAAACGATGCAGAACCCCGTTTTTCTAGAAGCACAGATTTGAACTTTCCCTTTAAAAACAATGTACGCTTATAGACTTTTTTCGAAAGTCAGTCTAGCCACCCGTGTAGGGCCGAGCCCGGCGCTCGTATGGCAGCACTGCACAGCTTTACACACCAGAAAAAGCGAACGCCTTCCAAGGCATATAACAGAAAGCGGAAAAGAGATTGGTGATTTTACGTACCTTCGACTCACAAAATCGAGGGTGCTTGATTTTGCCGTTTATGCTCTCATATCACCGCCATTAGAGTAACAATATTGGAGCTTTTTCGGGACTGCAACAAGGTGTCTTTGATTTTCGTAAAGGGTCTATTAAAATCAAGTAAGAGTGCTTTTAGGAGACGCTTTGTGGGTTAAACTTACTATTTTCTTTTTACAAAATGAACTAATTCACGAAGTTGTGAATTTGAAAATTATGTGGCAGGAATATAATTTAGTTGCCAATCACCCTGTACTGCTTTTGTTTTTGTTGATATATTGGATTAATTATAATAATTGTTAAGCCAGCATAATGCATCGATCAGACACCTTGCTTAGAGCCGCCACTTCCTGACTGGACGCTGCACAATAGAGTGGCTGTTGTCTTCACTGCAAATACATCTGGCGCCTCAGTATATTTTTTAACGTTTTTTCATCCTTCGTATATTGTAGAGGCTGCACTAGCTACAACGAATCAAAATGATCAGTTTGCCAGGTTATTGATTTATACATAATAAACGTTGAAGCGTTAATCACAAGGTAATTTTTTACTGTAGCCTGTAATTTATGTTAATCAGTATATTTGGGAGATTATTTATATTAATGAACAACGCGCTCAAAGAGAAATATTGTAGTTAAGCCTACCTTTCCCATATTAAACTCCAGTTGTGTGGTCAGCGCTTGCCCTGTCTACATCTCCCATTGGTCCCTGACCTTGGCGCTTCAATGTTTATAAGCAGTATTGAATTGAATAACTATAGTGTTACACAGTGTGCACTAACAGAAAAGAAGAAAGTTGTTTTATAATTCATTTCATATTTGCTGTTGCTAGTGCGGTTTTGTCAGATAACTGTAACCGGCAGTAAAATTAGAACAAACAAGCTCAATTGTGCATATCCATTAAATGTGCAACTTCATAAATTACAAGAATG